ATCTAGATCAACATCTTTGCTACACTTTCATAGGTTATCTCATAATTCATGCACTTTAAATATTTAACTATTAAACTAGACATGCTCACCGCTTGGTTTTGCTTCTGAAGCGAAACCAGTTGTGTGGGCCATACTATCATGAGAAGGTGGCACCCAACCACTAGATTTCCAAGGTTGAATACCGGATGCATATAATTCATCAACTTCCTCTAAAGATAACCCCTTAGTCTCATAGACAAAAAAGTACACAAAGAAGAAAGAAAAGATCAAACAACCAGTAAAGACAAATCCGTAGTAAAAATGAATATCATTGGTGATGAAAGGGGTGAAGAAAGGAATAAGGAACTCCCAGAGGTTACCAGCAAAGCCGCTTTCAATAGCCTTACTTTTGATGAGTGTAGAAATCTAAGAAGTATTTGCTAAATATTTTCTAAATATAAATTCTGAATTATATTAACCTTCATTCTTTAATTTATTGTTAATAGTAATAATATCATAATAAAATTTAACTGAAATTTATTCAAATCTAGAGTTATTGGATTTCAAAGTTTGATTATTGAAATAAACTCTTAACATTCTAAAAATCTAATATTGAAACTAATAGAAAGAATTCATCTTGCTACCGTTCAGTGTATTTGTGCTTGAAGTTTGTCAGACAGTTGTAGCCGTACTCGATTATTTCCAATTAATTATTTATGTTTCCCATGTCCCCCAACTTAGGTTCAACTTGTGACGACTTTAACATTTGGCATAATCCTCTAATTTAAAATACGCGCCTTTTGACTAAATGGTATCTACACCATGCACCCTACCTCTTTCTTTCATTCGTTTCCTATTTAATTCTTTACTCTGATGTATAGTCATTTTAGTCAAGAAGCATAATGTTAGGTCCTAGGTGTTGGAGCATAGGCGAAATACGACATTGAAGTTGACGACATTCGGGGTTACTACATTGATTGAGACACTGCCAATGGAGACATTGAGTTAAGAACGGCTCAATGATCAATAATTAATAAGAAGAGAGAGGAGAGAAAGAGGAGAGAGGGGGAGAAGGTATCGCCAAGGGAATTGGCAGCCGTTGGGACAATTTCCCCTCGAAGGGGAGAATGGATAATAAGGCGAAGATGATTATCGGAAATGTTCTCAGTATGAAAAGTGGAGAAACCATATCTACGAATTATGGTATAAATACACGGTAAATTGATGTTATTGATCTACGTGCTCAAGTCTACTGATTAAGTATACTACATATTGTTTCAATAAAACTATTATCTAATATCCTACTCTCTCAGTGCTAGGTCCGCCTGCACACAAGGTTCTGTAAAAACCAATAATACGGACCTACGAATTTCACGTGACTAGTCATATGACTCTGATATTGATATTACCTCCATAACGTTACAATCCACAAGGGAGACTAATAATGCCGGTGAAGCGATACTGGTCTATCACATGAAGCCGAGTGTCGGCAATACACAAAAGCCCGACAGGCTATATAAACACCTATATTTTGAATAGTTAGCTCCCCAGTTAATACAAGGATCTTAAGTGACCAACGCATACTACACAACGTAACACATTATACTTCATAAATTTTCACCATTTTTTTAAAATTTATCTGAAATGTGGAGAGGTTGACTACCAAATCGATTACTGTAACGCTTGTCCAACAACTATTCTAAAGGCGACGTTCTAGTACAACATAAGAAATGATTAGGCAATATCTGTTACAAAACAGTCCCTGCTTCAATTCTTTACCAAAGCTAGCTTCAATTAATGAATAACCTTTGTATTCTACCGTGAGGGAGCTCGTCTGTTCGAATTATAACTCCGCACGAATGGACTGATAGAATAAGTACTTGCAATACAATACAATGTTGAATGTTCCACAAGATAATGCAACATATCTGGTAGTGGTCATGAAATTTGAGATGCTCGCACGCATTTATCGATTACAGTGCTCTAAACCAACTAGTATTCACCATAGAGATTTGATTTCCATGACCCTCTTCAAGTCTGATTAGGAATCATCTTTATCCCATTGATTACCAGAAAACTTCGATGTGGTTGACTTTATTTTGAACGAGATCAATTAACAGGCGTAGTCAGGCACCAATTGCGAGCACTACAAGTCTCAACATTATGGATTGTAACGGCCATTACAAGTTTTTCGCATTAATTTTTTGCATGTTATTCGCAATATTGGACAATACCTTCATGCAGCAATCTGGAACTGCAAAATGACTACTATATAACCTATCGTCCCCTGCAACTACTCGGTGCTATCCACTTAGTTATCATGAAATTATCCAACTTACTTGTTGCTTCGACCGTTATTATGGGCACCTATGCTGGTTCCCCTTCAATCTGGTTTACCAGTGATAAAAACTTCGATGGTAAGATCGTCAAGCAGCTGCAAAAGTGGAATGTCGCTGGAGACAAGGTGGAAGGCTACTACTATGGAACTCAATTTTTCTTCTCGGGAACTAATGAGGTTGGATACTATGGCCCTCAGCCACGTAAAGAAGGCACCACTAACCACTTAACATTCAGTGTTTTTGGTTACGGTCCTTACTCTGACCATCCAAATTGTTACAAGAGTGCCGATGGTGGTCCAGGTGTCTCGTGTGCAGTTGACTTTCCTTGGGAGTACGGAAAGAACTATACTACAGAAGTTACCCGGACTGCACAGAATGACGATGGAAGTAACAGATGGACAGGTACTTTGGTTGATGGTGAAACTGGTGAAAAACTTGTTACTATTGGTGAGTACTGGACTCCCAAAAATTATTCCCTCCTTCAAACTGGGGGAAACACTTTTGACGAGTTGTATGCGATTGATCACTATAGAGACTCATGCATGCCCGTCAGCTCCTATGTTGGATTTTACCCTGTGCAGTCACAGGAAGATGGAACCTCTTTCACCCCCACTTTAGATGCTTGGGACAACCTTGATTTGCGCGTAGATGCATGTGCCAGGGCAGCAAACGAATCCAATCAACAGGGCTGGAACATTCCCGGAGGGTTTGTGTACGTAAATGGTTTGCTCAACTTGAACTATGAAGGAAAAATCTGAACAATACAAAACCCCCATAGAAGCTATTGGTCTTTGTCTTAATTGAGCCTACAAATGATCCACCGAATTTTAGTAACTTTTTAGTAGAATAAATGCTGAGCCAAGTACGGTAGTTCACTTCATTTCTTGGGAAGTTCTATTTTGCTGATTATCACACTAGAAAATTGATAAATGGATTAAATACCGAATTGTTCTGAATGATCTCAGAATGCATATGATATCTTTGTTTTCTGAATTACAGGTACTGATAAATTATTGTGTCTATTAATTAAAGGATATGATACAGAAAAATGACGAAAAATAAGAAATGCCGGTTTTATGTTTGAAAAACATCAAATCATGTAGGAAATCATAGCGACCAAAGCAATTAAGAACTTAGAAGCTTGAGTTCTTGATGCCCAACCCTCATACGTAGATACAGAAGGACCAAAAGATGAGGCAGAAGAAGATGAAACTTCAACACTTGGACCATTGCCATTGCTTGAGGTTCTAGTAGTGATTGTGTTACCGTGGGGTTCTGAAGATGGGAATTGAGGAACAACGGTGACCAGTGGGGCACCTGGAGCAACTGGAGAGCTTGGGGCACCTGGAGCACTAGAAGCACTTGGGGCACCTGGAGCAACTGGAGAGCTTGGGGCACCTGGGGCACTAGAAGCGCTTGGGGCACCTGGAGCAACTGGAGAGCTTGGGGCACCTGGGGCACTAGAAGCACTTGGGGCACCTGGAGCAACTGGAGAGCTTGGGGCACCTGGGGCACTAGAAGCGCTTGGGGCACCTGGAGCACTAGAAGCACTTGGGGCACCTGGAGCAACTGGAGAGCTTGGGGCACCTGGNGCACTAGAAGCACTTGGGGCACCTGGAGCAACTGGAGAGCTTGGGGCACCTGGGGCACTAGAAGCGCTTGGGGCACCTGGAGCAACTGGAGAGCTTGGGGCACCTGGGGCACTAGAAGCACTTGGGGCACTTGGAACACCTGGAGAACTTGGATTCACTGGAACAGTACTAGATTCTATAACTGGGGTAGTACTCGATGGAATGAAAGAAGAAACTTGGGAGCTTGAAATGAAAGTTGAAGACTCGCTTGATGAAGGAACTGCAATAGAAGAAGTCTTTGAGGTTTCGGAAGAAATATCAGTTGGCGAAGAAATAATGGAGGAATGTAACGTGGTAGATGGTTCAATGCTAGACAGTCTTATAGTACTAGAATTCCAAGGAAGTCTTCTGGAACTACTAGGAGTCAAGACTGCAGATGAGGAAGAACTGGCACTAATAGTGATACTTTGACTGCTTGAAGATACAACACTAGAGTAAACAGGAGTCTCAATGATAACAGTGTCAGTTCCGTTAGTACCGGTAGCAGTGGTGGTGGTGGTGAAAG